GCTTCACAGAATTCTAGGAATCATTTAAAGAACTAGTAGCAATTCTGGAGAAACGATTCAAAGAAATAAATAAAGCCAAGAAACACTTTTTAGCCCACTCTCTAAGGCTAATGTTTCTTTTTTTTTTAAATTTTATTATTTTTGTGTGCGTGTACCGTCAAATCAGATCTGACTGGTACAGGAGGAGATTGTCCCTCCTTCCCCAGCAGAGCATCTGGTGGATTTGAACCGTTCGCCTCTGGGATTGTAGTTGCAGCTCCTTGCCACTAGGCCACCAGAGCTCCCCAGGCTAATGTTTCTTATACATAAATTATACAGCAAGCAGCATCATGCAAGTCATTCCCACCCTGCCCCCATAAAACAAACTGGAAGAACTCGCTTGGCATTTCTCAAGTTGAAAGAACTGGCAAACAATTTCAAGCCCAAAGTTTCAATACTGAGAGACAACACTATGAGAAAATTCTGAATGATCCAGGCACACCAAAAAGACATGAAGGGAATACATGGAGTCACTGTACAAAAAAAAGTGGTTGATACTAAACAATGCCAAGAAGGAGCGTACAATAAAGAGCCAAGGATGGTGAGCACATATGCTCAAGCTGCACTGAAGGCACTGGCATAAAAGATAAGGCCCCAGGCATCAACGGAATACCAACTGACATGTTCCGAGTAACAGACGCCTTCCTGGATGTTCTCACTAGTCCACATCAGGAAATCTGGAAGGCAAATACCTAGACAACTGGAAAAGATCCCTATTTGTTCTCATTCACAAGAAAGGTGATGAAACAGGATGCTGCAACAATCCAAAGATATCGTGAATGTCACATGCTGAACCAAATCTTGCAGAAGATCATCCAAAAACGGATAGGACAGTAAGTGCATTGACAGAAAACTGCCAGAAGTTCAAGCTGGATTTAGAAGAGGTCATGGCATTAGGATATCATTGCTAATATCAGCTGTATCTTGACTGAAAGGAGAGGATACCGGAAAGCTGTCTGCTTGTGTTTTATTGACAATACAGAGGCATTTGCCTGTATGACATAACAAACTGTATAGCATGCAAACTAGTTTGTAATAACAAACTATGGTTAACATTGAGAATGGGAATGGGATTCCCAGAACACTTAATTATGCTCACACAAAACCTGTGCCTAGACTAAGAAGCTGCTGTCCAAACAGAACAAGAAAACACTGTTATCATTGTGTGCCACCGAGTGGCATGACTACGACTCATAGTGACCCTCTGCACAATAGCTCTGAACTCTATTCTATTCAGGGCCAATCTCACTGTCTCTGACACATCTACTCTGATCATCCCAGTTACTGTGTCAATCTGTCTCATCTGGGGTCTTCCTCTCCCATGTTGTCTCCATCCTTCCAAGCATGATGTCCTTCTCCAATGACTGGTCCCTCCTGGCAATATATCCAAAGGATGTGAGACAGAGCCTCAAAATCCTTGACTCCAGGCAGCTCTGGTGGCCTAGTGGCAATAAACTGCACCGCAATCCCAAAGGCGCGCAGTTCAAATCCACCAAATGCTCCCCTGGAGAAGGAGGAGCAATCTCCTCCTGTGCCAATCAGATCTGATTCAATGGTACATGGGAATAAAAAAAAATTTTAAGAAATTCCTTGACGGCAAGGAGCAGCTAGGCGTCACCCTCTCCAAGACATAATCATTCTCTTGGCAGTCTATATTCAATACTCTTCTCCAGCACCACAACTCAAAGGCATCTTCTGTCATCTTTGGTCACTATCCAAGTGTTCCCTTAGAAAACCTAAGGGAATATTACATGGCTTAAAATAAAAAACGGCGTGCACCAGGGCTGTATTGTTGCTCCATACCCGTTCAATCTGTATGCAGCACAAATCACTACAGAAGATGCACTTTAAGACGAAGAGTGTGACAAATGGAGTGGAGGAAGACACACTGTTCACAACATGTGGTAAGCAGGTGACTCAACTTTGCTTGCTAAAAGTTAGGAGGAGTGGAGGTGCCTGCTACAGAGGATCAAGGACTACAGCCTTCAAAGTGAATTACATGTCAACATCCAGAAAACAAAAATCATCATCCTTGGGCCAACAGGCATTATCATGACAGATGGAGTAAAGACTGAAGTTGTCAATGATTTCATCTTGCTTGGATTCACAATCAACACCCTTGTTACCAGCAGTCAGGTGATATGGATACAGACACTACGGTTTGTTGTCAGCAACCTCTCCAAAGGCCTGAAGAACAATGAGGTCAGTTTAAGGACGGCCCATGCTGCACCTGATTCAGCCGCAGTCTTTCCAATCACCTGCTATACATCTGAGAGTTGGATAATGAATAAAGGTGACAGCAGTGAGCTCTGGTGTTGAGAAGAGTGCTGACCAGCCCATGGACCGCCAAAAGAACAGAGGGGTTTGGAGAAAGTACACACATAGTGCTCCTTGAAACATGAATGGCAAAGATTTGTCTCACATATTTTGGGCAAGTTGTTAGGAGAGACTATTCCTTGGAAACAGACATCATGCTTAGGAAGGTAGAGGGTCAGCAAAAGTGAGGATGATCCCCAACGAGATGGACTATTCAGTGTCGGCAGCAAATGGGCTCCAGTGTGTCAGGGATGAGAACGGTGGTGCGGGACACGAAAAGGTTCAGATCTGTTCACAAATTCAAGACAATTCCTATTGGAAGGCACTCGGGCTACTTTTTAGAAATTGGCAAGCTGATGTTAAAATTCACATGGAATTGCAAGAGACCCAAAACAGCCAAAACAATCTCTAAAAAAGAACAGAAGAGCTGGAAGATTTCAACACTTTCAAAGCAATAGTAATCAAAGCAGTGTGGTGCTGGCAAACAGATGAACATGTATATATCATTACTGTTCTCAATTGCTGAGTTCAAAGAAACAGCAACAAGGCAGAGGCAAGCACTGCCTGGTCCCGCTCCATTCCCATGATCACTGCTATGTCTGTGTCCACTGCTGGACCCGCCGAGTCGTTCCACACCACTGAGGGTTTCCCTCCTTGCCGGTGACCTCTCACCTCATCCTGGTCTAGTGACTTGTCTTTCTCGGTAACATGTCTCAAAAGCAAGCAAGTCCAAGAGCCGTCACTGTTGCTCATAAAAAGCATTCTGGATGTATTTCTTCTATGTATTTGTTCTTCTGCTGCTGTTGTTACATGTCTTCATATCAGAGCTGACTCACAGCTGACCCTGTAAAGGGTTTTTTCAGGGACAATAAGTCATACTTGACTGTCCATCTTTCTCCTGTGCAGCTGTTGGTGGATTTGAACTGCATGCCTTTAGGTTGGTAGCACAGCTCTTTTTCCATTAGTATAATTAACATTTCCCTCCAGCACCAAAGTTCAAAAGCATTCATTATTCTTCTGTCTTTTTTCATTCATATGCTTTTGCAATATATGTGAGTCCATTCAAAAGATAACAGTTTGGGTCAGATACACCTTAGTCATCAAAGTAGCATCTTTTCTTTTCAAACATGTAAAAAGTTCTTTAGCAGTAATCTGGCCAATACATTACGCTATTTTCTTCAAGACTTCTTCTTCCATGCACACTGATTACTGATCAAAAGTAGAATAAGATCAGTGACAATTTCCTTAATTTATCATGATATTTACTTTGCATCTATAATGAAGTATATGTTAATGGAATAGAATTAAAAACATAGAAAGGAACTTAATTGTGGTCAAATGATTTTTTATAACGTTGTCAAGACGATTAAATGGGAAAATACCATTCCTTTTGAAAGACAGTGTTTAGACAACTAGATATTCAAATACAGCAGGATCAAGTTGAAGCCTACCTCACACCAGATACAAAACTTAGCTCAACACTCCAAGAAAATAAAAAAAAATTCAACATAGCGTAGAGATCTGAATTTATAAGCTAAAATGTAAAATGCGTAGAAGAAAATAACAGTATAGTTTTGGCATTTCTTTCTTACAAGTGACACCAAAAGCACAAGCAACCACAACAAAAAAATTCTACTCCAGAAACATCAGAACTTTTTGTATTTCAAAAGATATTAACAAAACAATGAAAAGAATCCAAAGGACTCTTTGAAGGAAATATTTATGAATTACACCCTGGATATGGGACTAATATCTAAATGTATGAGAAACTCATGTATTCAGTAATAAGGACAAACACCACAATTAAAAATGGGTATGTTGTTGTTGTTGTTGTGTACCACTGAGTCAAACCAACCCATGGCTGACTCTTCAGCAGGTTTTCAGAGGCAGTTACTTGAGACTGCCCATCCTTGTGCAGAGAAGCTGGTGGATCTGAACCCCAGGCCTGTGGGATTATAGTGCAATTTCTTACCACTGGGCCACCAGAGCGCCTTAAAAATTTTTTTAGAAACCCAAAACAAACAACAAGCATAGGTTCTGAATAGACATCTCTCCAAAGAAGACATACAAGGGCCAACAGATACATGAAAAGATACTCAACATCCTTGATCAACTTGGAAATACATATGAAGGCCATAACTGGATGCCAATGCATTCCCACCAGGACGATCAGAATCAAGAAGATACTAACAACTGATGGAAAATTTGTGGCACTAACAGATCCCTCTAACACGTCTTACATGGTTCAAACTCAGGAAAATAGTGTCAGGCTTCAAAACTTTTCAATCTATATGCAGAACAGATCATCCAGGAGGCTGGACTTTATGAGGAGGAATGTGGCATCAGGATTTGAGGAAGACTCAAAAATCTGCATTATGCAGATGAGATGACACAACCCTGCTTGCTGAGACTGAGGAGGACCTGAAGCACTTGCTGCAGAAGGTCAAGGACCATAGTCTTCAATATGGATCGAAGCTCAACATCAAGAAAACAAAGATTCTCACCACTGGGCCAATTGGCAGC